GAGCTCCTTCACAGACGTCTGAGCTCAGACGCTGGACTCAGAGGGGAGTTTAACATGAGAGGAACCAAGTGTGTTCTCTCTCTGTGCATAAATACGAATCCTGTCAAACCAAAGCTCAGATGTGCTGCAGAAGGAAGCAGCTGGATCAGAGTCCAGATGTCGTGATTTTAGAGTCAGTGGAAGTTAAAAATCCAAACGTGTTTCCTGTTTCTACAGTTTCTGGCGATAAATGGTGTCATTTTGTTGATTTTAGAATAAAATGTCTCTGAAGCCCACCACCAGTTCTATTCAACCCAGTTCTATTTGTGTAGTCCACATCACACCGTCTGAGGTCCCTCAGCGCTGAAGGCGGACCTGACGGGTCTGAACAGAGAACCCAACAATCCACAGCAGCCTTTGGACAGCAAGCGGTCGGCAACGGTGGGAAGGAACCAAAAACCCAGTAGGGAGGAAAAAAGACCTCGGACAGAACCGGGCTCAGGGAAGAAGGCCCGGTTGGGTGAGAGTGGGGATGGATGGAGAGCAGGTGGCAGGTAACCAGGTGTTGGGGCTCATGGGTCCATATTGCACCTGACTGTTGCTTTATGAAGGATCTGAGAAGATGTGACTCTGTGCTTTAAAGGTGAGCTGTGCTGTCTGAGGACCACCGGCTGCAGACGCCGGTAGTGAAGAAGCACTTTGGGATGTTGAGCTGCTTTGAAGAAGTTCTGCTGCTGAACATCTGATCTCACAACCAGTGAAGCACCCAGAATCCTAGCATGACCGTGTTTAGCAGGCATGAGCATGTTAGCACGCTGCTAACTAGCATCGAACACACAGTCCTCTCTGTGAGATTTCCTCACCATGAATGGCAGCGTCTCACCTCAGCAGCCAGAGGGAAGCTCCGGTCCAGAGCGCAGTGATGAGGACTGCTGCTCAGGCTGCTGCTGCTCAGGCCGCCGCCGCCGCCTCTCTCCCCTCCAGCGCCGTGAGCTGATGCCGGTCTGACCAGGCCCACCAGGGAGGCACGCAGCTGAGCTTTGTTTTGGCTGTAGGCGTGGGCCTCCCCAAGGAGAGGCCTGGGCTTGGGCAGGGTGGACACCGGGTCCCTCAGCAGGCGAGCTGGGGGCCTCTGGATGGCTGACGGGTCAGACACCTGGGGGGGAAGGTGAGGAGGAGGTCAAAGGTCAAACCAAACATCACATTTTACTGGAATATGACACAGAAGCCTCACCTCCGAGTAACTACGGCGACCCTGGAACTTAGCCCGAAGACGGCTGCTGGTTGGCTGATGGGAGTAGGAGGCGGGGCCGTCGTTGGGAGACAGAGGAGGCGAAGGGGTGGGGAGGAGCCTGTCGGGCGAGAGAGAGGGGCGCTGGGGGGAGGTGGGGGAGAGGCGCTGAGGAGCCGGGGGAGGACGAGAGGCTGGAGGAGGAGACGAGAAACCGGTCAACAGATTGTAGCTCCATCTGACCGCCTCCCATTTGCTCCAAGCTAACGCTAACGCTAAGCTATGGAAACTAAAAATAGCATGTGTGAAATTACCTGACTGATATGTCGAGTACTTTCTGAAATATATATTTTTTAATTTGATGAAAATGTCAGGCTGCTATCTGTCATCGCTCCTGAGACGCTGTTCAAACAAAACCTGCTCAACGGGCTCATTCTGTGAAGATTGATCTCCTAAAGTATCGATTCCCTCATATCTTTATCAATATTCATAACCTATAAACCTAAACATTTTTGGTGAATCAGAGATGGTCGAGCAGAAGTCGTCCTAAAAATGTGATGATTTGATGGAACCACAGAAACACGAGTCACATGAGTTCTAACCAATCAGAACCCAGAATGTTCACTGACTGTGGGACAATAAGACGTCCCGTCTCTTAGTAATAATGTGACCGTCAATCACGACTCACTCCTGCCCTGAACAACTCATCCTGCTTCATCATCTGTTTTCCTCTAAATGGGATGAAAGTTCTCTAAATGAAACCCACGCCGTGTTGAACAAGTCGTCACACCAGCAGTCCAGACTGAACTCGGTGCTGAGGTGAGGTCCATGTTAGCATGTGGGCTTAACGTTACTGTGACTCCTCAAGCATCTGGGCTGCAGAGACAAAAGGGGCAAAGCAGTCGCTCATCGTCTGACTAACCCTAACCCAAAACGGTCCAGGGGCTTGTGTGAAACGTGGGCGGTGGTCTTACTGAGTCTGTCTTCTATGTACAGTTTGTGAGTCTTGGAGAGAGTTGATTAGTAGAACCGGATACGTGACTCAGTTTAGTGCCCATGATTACAACATCTATCAGTAGAAGCTGCACTAAGCTGTTGGTTTATTGTCTGGTGAGTGTAATACGAGGATGTATGTAATACAAACACACTGATCACAGCCGGTAGACGTCCACCTCATCACACAGCGACAGTCTGTCCGACCGTCCTGCCCCCTCAGCCTCAGTAACCCTCTGACTGCATCACCTACCGGGCTCCTGGGACACGTGGCGCAGAAGGTCACTCTGTGTAGCAGCCAGACCGCGGACCCGGCCCAGCTCCTCGGTCAGCTCGGTGTAGGCCAGCGCCAGGTTCACCCTGCAGCACAGATTCATGTTAAACACTTGGGGGCAGCTTTGAAACAGCCCCTGCCTGTGAAACAACACTCACTGTTCGTCGCCGGCTTTCTTGATCCACTCCACGTCGCAGTGCTCGCAGTGCGGAGACAAGTCCTGGGACTGGCAGAGACAGGCTGAGGTTAGCACAACACTGCTCTCCTTGTTTCTTTAATAACCTCCTCAGCCCTGTTTGGTTTTATGTAATTATTGATTCCATGTACGTGCAGCAGTTTGAAACGTGCTCCTGTTTAGGTTGGATGTCGAAGCGTGTTTTAGCCTCATCAGCTGCTCCATTTCCATGACAACCGAGCAGCTACCAACTGATGAGATGCTAATGAGAGCACAGGGAAAAGCTTTTTGCTTCTTTTAAATTAACAACAAAATCAATGGTTTGGAAACAAATCTGAATGTAAAAGAGCCAAAAACACGTAAAACCTGGGTTTGTTTCTACAGGGAGCTCCGACATGCGACTGAATGGAGCGAACGACAAACGTGTCGGTTCACCTTTAATGAAGCTTTTCTGCAGCATGTAGTTTCTAACTGCTGCTGAGTAGATGGAGCTTTGATTTGGGACTATTTCAGTGGCACGTTGATCCACATTTGGTGCTCCAGTGAGTATCTGGGGCAGCAGGACTGTGGATGTAGGACTTTGTGTTCCTTGGCCGTAGTGAAGGAACACTCGTGGAACAGTCGGGGTGTTTTAAATAGTTTTGGGATGGCGGTGGAGCTACACGGCACAGAGGAGCCACATTTATCAGCCTTTTAAAGAAGAAACATAAAGAATCATTATTCTCTACCTGAGGATGGTCATATAACCACAGTCTGAAGCGTAGCTGTGAGAGACGAGCATTGATTGGGTCAAACAGATCATTTGTTTTCTGGATTGGAGATCCTCTGTTTAGAACTTGGGCTGCATCAGGGACTCTGCACTGGACTGGTTTTAGTCCTACCTTTTAGACAGAACCCTGCTACCTGTGGTGCACCACAAGGCTCAATGTTAGGTCTGATTTTATTTTCTATTCATTCACTCCCTCTTGGTTTTTAATCCAACATCACAGTGTATCCTCTCATTTTTAGGTTAAATGCTCTCTTTTGTTTTTATTCCTTAATTTTTAGCTGCCTCGTTCTTTGGTGTGACATCACTTTTTATTCTTTTTTAATTCTTTAATTCTTAAGACTTGCATGTTTTCACTGCAGCTTGTGAACGCTGTTCTTAAAGCTGCTATTTAAGTAAAGTTATAATTATTAGCATAAGTTTGTGCCTCAGTGTGCTGGTGGTCAGTGTTTGCTGCAGCGTCTCCACCAATATGTTAACATGAGTCAGCAAACATCTGGTCAGGTGACAGGTGGGAGTGACTTGTAAACCCAGCTGCTGGTGATGCTGGCTGACCAGTCCTATCACAGGGTCTGAGCCTGTCTGGGTTCCTGTTGCAGCCTTCACCTGCCGCTGTGCGTCCTGCAGCTGGGCCACCTCCTGCTGCAGCCTCTGGAGCTCGGCCCTCAGCTCCTTCTCCCTCTGGCAGGCGCCCTCGGCCTGGTGTCGCGCCCCCTCCAGCTCGGCCTCCAGCCGCTGCAGCTTCAGGTCCGACAGGGCGTCCAGACTCCGCGAGCTCTGCAGCGTCGGCCCGCGACCCTCTGAGAGAGAAGAACAGCTTCAGCCATGAGGTTAGTCACTGCTTTACGATCCATGGTAGGAGCAGGAAACCATCAGCATCATGTTCTTACACCACTGCTATTGAATGTTCATTCATTCAGTGTTCTCATGTTGAGCAGAAATTAGCTGCATTTTAATTTTAATGCTAAACTGGAACTGACATTATGTGAACTGACTCTTGGTTAAACTTTAAGCGTACCGAGGCCCAGCAGGCTGAACCTCAGGACTGTTCCTCAAGAATGTGGCTGCAATAAAACACTCAGCGTACGAGGAGGTAGGAAGGTGGCTCCTCGTACGTACGCAGCTTCCTCCACAATGAAAAAACTACAAACAGCAGAAAAGTGAGACTCATACATGCTGCCTGCATTCTGACACATCTTCATATTCATTGACTGAAGCCGACTCTGGAGGCCTCTCCTACCCTCACTACTGCAGTACCACCCCTCTACTACCTCTACTGCCTCTACTGCCCCTCTCCCACCACCCTGCCTTGGTGTAGCGGTGCTGTGAACCACCTCTGGGGACGTCCAGGCTGGCGTGGAGCTGGGGCTGATGGGAGTCTTTGGTGCGTAGCTGCAGGCTGAGCTTCTGCAGGGAGCTCTCTCTGAGCCTGAGCGCCGCCTCCAGGCTGTGGATCCTCTCCAGGTGCTGCTCCGCCAGCGTGGTCTGACAGAAACACAGGTGAGCTGCAATCCTCAAAGCGCCACTCAAACACTGCAGAGTCAAACATGTAGTGCGATGAGGACACGTCTGTGTCTGCGCTCACCATCTTGTCCAGGTCTCTCTGGACGTTGCTCTTCTCCAAGTGGATCTTCTCATAAGCCTGGATGACCTCCTCCAGCCTCTCCTCTCGCTCTTTGCTCTTCTGGAGCTGAAACAAAGCAGCATGCGGTGAAAACACAAAAACACTGTAAACTCTGAAGTGACGGCTCACAAACCGACTTTCTGCCCCAGCTGGGACTTTGAAGAAGCTCAACCATGTGTCCACGACCAGAAGAAATGAGGAAGGACAGGAGGACAACAAGCATTCAGAGGTTCCCTTTATGTGATGCCTGCTCATAATTACCTGCAATGTGCAGAAGGTGTGACTACAAGTCTGTGCTGAGCGGCCCGAGGAGGCCGAGCCGGTCTCAGCGACGGGTCCAGCTGCTGACAGACCCAAAGTGGTCCAAGTGGGACCAGCAGGACCTCTTGTTTCATCACTCATCACAAACACAGAGGCTGCAGCAGCACGCCACAAACACTAGGGGGGGTCGGACTAACGTAGTCTGTAAGTGCTTAACAGAATTCTGGACACACGACACCGAGATGGACCAGAACCAGAGCAAAGCCTGGAGGAGTGGAGCCCGCTGCTGAAGAACCCCGTCCTCAAAGCTAGAAGCCGGACCAGCTCCCACAGCACAGGACACACTGAGACCTCCTCAGACCTCCTCAGACCTCCTCAGCTCAGAAGGCCGCTGCTCCTCTGACTGCTCCTCTGACTGCTCCTCTACCTGCTCCTCTG